GAATAATTGAAGGTATGTTATACCAACAGCTACCATTTATTGAATGCCAAGCATTGTTAGATGTCTTATAGACATTATTTATCATCTTATTTATCATCTCAAGCTAACTTTACAAGGTAGATGTTATTATACTCATGATACAGGTAAAGAAACTAAGTTTCAGGGAGGTTAAGTTAACTAGCAAGTCACCCAACTAATAGTAATAACAGTGATAGCCAACACTCATGAAGTGTCTACAGTGTTTATCTTCAGTGGAGACACAGTGATGGATCCAGTTTTCGAGCACAGGAAAGGTGACTGATGGCCAGTTTTGCTCTCTGTAGTCAGAGGTCTAAGAGAGGCATCTCATGGCTGCCACATTCTCTCAATTAGGACAGAGCCAGACTTTTAACTCAAAGTTTGTGCAGAACACCCAAGGACTTATCCTTTGCTTTACCATTGAACAGACTGAGATTCATCAGAGGGTCATACATAGAAGCTGGCCTTTATGTGTTTTTAGAACAAAAACTTGTTTAGAACTACCTGTGGGGTCATTGTACCTGCCTATTCTGGCTAATTCTCATCTCTATTTTGACAACATAGTTAAGAATTGGGGTGTGGATTCATTGAGAATACTATCCAAGTATCAACATACGCCTTGGTTAAATGTCCGCCTGATAAATCTGACAATAACTATAATGGGGCAATGAGAAAAGTAGAATGAAGTTCTATATTATTTATGAAATTCTTTTGTTGAGAAATTGCCACCCTGATTTATTTCATCATCATTGTATCTGTAGATGGAAAATGTTTTCCTTATGAAAGTTACCTATATAGTCCACATGCATTTGATGTAAAATATTTAAACCTATATGAAACAAAAAATATAACAATATTCTTTCAAAATTCCCTGGCTGCATTTGCTAGGAGGAAAGACAGAAAATAACCACAAAGAAGGGAGAATTTTGATTGATGGAGGAGAGTCTTAACAAGTGGTCCCATTCCTGGCACTTTTTACAACCACACTCAGTTAGGTCCACAGCGGCTCTCGCCACAGGCCCTGAGGGCACCTGCCTGCAGGAAAGTTTTCAAAGATAAGCTTCTAATTTTTGGTTACTTGCATCATTTTAGCTTTCCCTTCATGACACAGATTATTTTTGGTATAGTAAATAGGAAAATAAATAAATATCAAAGCAGCATTTCCCAAGTGTGTTCCTTAGAAAATTTGGGTTATAGTATATTTAATTGGTATTATTCAAATGATAAAATTCTAAGAGCAAGTAAGGCCATGAAAAAGCAGATTGTTTTAAACACAGTTAAACAGTTGTCTTGAGTGCAGGATTATATTAAGTCCTAATATCATATGTAAGTTAAGACTCTCTAAGCAAGTCATGTGTGTAGCATTTATAAATATTTATACACATATATTTATATATAGTCAATGACTCGAGCAAGTCACACACACATATGCATATATAGAGTCTACTATTTATCTATCTATTCTAACATGTTTCCCCATGAGCTCCTTTTACAAATAACATCTTATGGGAGACATGTATTATCTATATAAATTGTATATGATTTAGTCTGGGCACTTGAGGCTAAAGGTCTCACTTCTGAGAACTGACAGCCTTCTGGAATTTATGTCTGTGTTTTCTAAGTCTAACATCCTTATATGCATTAGTTTGAACCAGCAGAATATCAATCGATGTAGGACACATTCATCAGGGAGCCATCATAGAAACAGGTCAAAGAAATTAGAGGACTGTTGGAGTATCATTAAAGAGAGATGCCTGCATCAGGCAGACTTACCCAGCAATTACAGCTAATAATGTGAGGCTCAGATAGGGCAGAGCAGGTAAACACACCCCTGGAAAGCACAGGTAAACAGCCCTGGTGAGAAGTGCCTGAAGAAAGACTGTTTGACTAGGACCTGCCACTCCTTAAAAAATGACCACAGAGACTCCTTTTGACTGGGAGTGTCACCCTGCCCTACCCAGATCCATTACCCAGAAGAATGAAACCAAGGCAGCTGAATGGGCTCCCTGCCACAGCTGCAAAAGATAACCTGTCAGGACTAGCACATTCTTGTGCCATCTCTTGGGACTAGGCCCAAGCAGCACATGGCGCTAACCACCTAGACCTCCTCCCCTGCACAACTACCAGCTCCACAGGTTCTCATGTTTGCCTGGTTTGGAAGAGCGCTAATTCTGTTTTAATGCAGAGGCTCCAGGTTCCCTTGCCAGTGACTGTAACTAAGAGGCCTCAAATCCCAATCACTCAGCAGAATTTGGAACATCTAAACTGTAAATACCCTACAAGAAAAGGCAAATTTTAAAAAAATTGCTGTACTACCTGCCCCTAAGGTACATTCTTGAATTGAACTGAGGACATAATCAACTGAAAGCTTCCTGTCACAGAAGGCCAATCAGGTGGGGTGAAATGAAACCAGGTGAGAAAGATATGATAGAAAGTACTAGTCACTTTGAAACAGTCTTTAAGATTAAATAATGGACTCATCTAGCCTTTCACTCATCTATTTATTTGACAAACATTTATAGGGACGTCCACAGTTCGTCTCAGAGAGACAGAAATGAGAATGGAATAGTTTCTCTTCTCATGGGATCATGTCAGTCTAGCTGGTTTTCCCACATTGAAATGCTTGTGAATCATTTGGCACACTGGTTTAAAATGCAGATCCCCGACCACAACCCCACAGAGTCTCATTTAGTTAGGCAGGGGTGGATTCTAAGAGTCTTCATTGTTTTTTATGGTGATTATGATGCCTGTGGTCTGTGGGCTGCAGGTGAATGCAGATCAGCACAAAACCGCCAGAGAGCGCTAGTGAGTCTGTTCTGAAGGGACTGAGTGGGTGAGAGTTCAGGAACATTTCTTTCCCGTCAGGCAACCTGAGTTCAGACTCAGGCTCCATCACTATCTATTTGACCTCAGGTAAATGACTTGACCTCTTTAATACCCAGTTTCATTTGAAATAAAATGAGAATAATATTTCCTATCCCTTGGGATTACTTTAAGAATAAAGTGAGTTAATATATGTCTGGCACATTATGTGGCACATAATAGATGCTCAATACATAACTGTAAAAGTAATAATTATTGCTATTGGTGGTGTGATCACTACCATAATGATTCAGCAGAACTAAGCTATACTAATCAATGTAAGTTAAACACAAATACATTAATATAAAACTGCATAATTCATGCTATTAATCATATTAATTATAGTATAGATTACTTACATTAATACATATAGTCAACAGAGATTATGACTAACAAATTCAAGAAAGGAATTCATACAATTTTCTATAACAGAGCAGTGAAGGCATGCATTTCCTGCAGAGTAAGATTTACCATCTCCTTTACATGTCAATTGGATATAAAAATCTTATTCACAATGTAAAATTGTAATAATTCGACTAAGAAAAAGATGGAAATGGGGGAGTGGTGTTGAAACCACAGAGAAGAGAGAGAAGTGACTCCTCTGCTTTACATAGCCCCATAATATATGCTCACACACACATATATAATATACACTGTAGTTTAAACTGTATAACTACATTTACGTATGTACTACATGTATATACTATACATATAGTACTCTTGGCATGGGCAAATGCATAATCCTATGGTAAAAGCATATGCTTTGGAGCTAAACTTACTTTGGCCTGAACTTTGCCATTGTCTTGTCCTAGAAGAAAACAGCAAATCAGCAGAGAGAGTGTTTTCTAACAGAATCTGAAGAGCTTTATTTTGTAACAATAGTAGTAAGTGGGAGGTCTCCTGCAAAATGTCCCCCTCTGTTATTTTTGCAGTTGTTGCTTATTTGTTGTTGTTTTTAAACTCAAGTAGTTTCAAAGTCAAATAGGTAATGTATGTCATCTTTTTAACCCCCATAATTTGTTTCCAATATTTTCTATTTGAAAAATAAATTTTTCTTATAATAAATACTGGACATAGAACATTTAGAAAGAAGGAAAATCCTTTAAAAATGAAAAAAACAATCATCCATTCAAGTATTTGCTATTCAGATGTAACCATAATAAAATTTGGTGCTTAGTCTTTTTTCCCCCTTTATAATTTGTTTTCTCATGAGTTCAAAATATGCGCACATGCCCTGGCGGCTTGGGTCAGTTGGTTGGAGCATCACTCTGGGCAGTGAAAGGTTGCCAGTTCAATTCCAGGTCAGACCACATGCCTAGGTTGCTGATTCAATCCCTCACTGGGGAGCCTGTGGGAGGCAACGAATCAATTTTTCTCCCTCTCTTTCTTTTCCTATCTCCCCCTCCTCCCTTCCTGCCCTCCGTTTCCCTATAAAAATCAATGTTCTCAAGTGAGGAGATATCTACACAATTTATGTACGTTGTTTTTCCTTATTAGTATATAATAGGAATTTCACATATCACATGTAAAAATAATACTTGTTATCTAAATAATTTCATTCTTCCTCACTCATAATTAATTTTATCAATCTCTTATCTTGGTAAATTTCACTATTCTAAGATATAAGAAATAATTTTATACATGTTACCTACATATATTATATTTCTTTTGGATAGACTCCTGAAAATAAAATGACTGAGTGAAAGGTATGAATATTTTTAAATTTTTAAGACATGCTAAAAAATTTCTTTCCATTAAGGCTATGCCAGTGCTCACTCCCACCATCAGAAGAAAAAATATTAATTTATCCATAATTAAAGTTATTAAATCTACTTTGATTAATATATTGGCCATTATATTTCTTTTTCTGCAAATTGTACATTTCCTTCTTTGTCCAATTACCTATTGGACACTTAATTGACACTTTCTTCTTTCTTTCTACTGAAAAGTTACCATTTAGATTTTTCGTGGGATGAGTCTTGAATAAATTAATTATATTACTTGTTAGAGCACAACTAGAAGTGTGTTTCTCCTCGCTCCCACAGTACTGTTATAGAATATTATGCCATACTTCACATTTGGAATTCTCTTTGATGACAGGAATATTAATATTTCCTTTCCTAGGCAGACCCCAAATGTGGCAGCTTTTAGCAGCAGCATGCTGGATGCTTCTTCTTGGCCCTCTATGTGGTTATCACAAGAAAGGAAGCATCACAAATCCTGAAGCTAATATGAATATTGTAAGTCATCCATTAAGGAAAAAAATAGGCTAAGGATTTATTCAGTCATCATTATTTTAGACATAATTGATGTGATTGTTTAGTTTTCAACAATTCTAATTTGATGGAATCTGTGCCTCCTTCCCTGTTCCTTGACATGACTAACTAATCTAAGGGTTGAAAGACCTGATTCAAGTTGGGAAAGTTAATTCTCCCTCTCCTGGTAGTTGAGCTACCATCTCACAGTGGCTCACTGAAGAAAATGTTCATGAGTTCATACTACAGAGTATCCTTGAGTTCTTCCTGAGGTTTTGTTTCTAGAGCAGTTTCTGTGATTTTTGAACTATATCAGTGTACTCCTTTAGTTCAGTAAGCTGGGACTGGCTTTGGTTTGCCCTTAACCAAAAGTATCTTAACATGCAGGAATTCATACCAGAAGTGGGATTGAATGAAGTAGAGTGATAGAATAGAACAGTGCTGCGAAGGAAGGAAGGAAGGGAGGGAGGGAGGAAGGGAAGGCAGGAGGGAGGAAAGAAAAAGACAAATGACTGATATCCACTGTAGACTTTGTTCTAATGGGATACTCCATACTCCTGCGAACACTGTACACCACTGATGTGCTTGCCCGCACCTGTTTATATTAGAACTTTAAGAATAGAACTGTCAAAGTTTTAAAATTAGTGTCTTGTTTCTCACTCCAATGCACCCAGCAGACACCCCTAAACTTCTACCACACTGCTGAACTCACAATCTATAAATATATGTCCTCAATCCAAATTCTCCTTTACCTCCCATATTCACACACATTTTATTCTTTCTGATCTGAATGCTTTTTGGCTCTTAATTATTCTATAATAATCATAAGAATAATAAACATTAGTCCTGGCTAGAGTGGCTCATTTGTTTGGAGCATCATCCCATAAACCAAAAGATCACAGGTTCAATTCCCAGTCAGGGAGCGTGCCTAGATTGCAGGTTTAGTCTGTTTAAGGTGCTACTAGAGCAGCTGATCAGCTTCTCACACATCGATGTTTCTCTTCTCTCTCCCTTCCTTCCCCTCTCTCTAAAATAAAAAAAAAATGTGTTCTTGGGTGAGGAGAAAAAAAGAATAATTAACATTATGGATCACTTAGATTGCGCCAAGCACTATTTTAGACTCTTTATGTATAATCCTCACAACATATCTGTGAAGAGCTACCATTATTATTTTTGTCTTAGAGTTGAGGGAAATGAGGCAGAAGAAGGTTAAGTAATTTTCTAAAAGCTTCATAGCTAGCAAGAGGAAGAGTTGGAATTCGGTGTCATACTGTGAGTCTCTAGAGTCTGTGCCCATAACCACTGTTTCATGTGGTCCCATAACGTATACACACCTCTTGTGTGCCTGGCATGGTCAAATACATAATCTTGTGGTAAGGGCATGCTTTTGAGCTAAAGTTACTGTGGCTTTAATTTTATCTTTATCTTTTTCTACTTGTACAATCTCAGACAGGTTGTTAATCTTCCAGCAGTTCAGTTTTCTCAGCTGCAAAAATGGGTAAAATTTTATCTTAAAGTCTATTTGTTAAGATTAATAAAACAGGAGGTATAAACCATCTTCTCTGCAATAAACAGTAGTTCCCCTCTTTCTTGTGTATCTGTGGTTGGGATATCTTTAGTTTACCCCTCTAGATCTACTCTGTATTTTTTTATACTGTTTTCTCTGTCCAAGAGGCTGACCTGTAAGAACTAGGTCAACAAGCTCCCTGGACCTTTGGTTTTCAGTTCAGTTCATCCAATGGAAATCGTGAGCAGGAGATCAGAAGGAAGGGGGAAAGTGAAATCATATGAATTATTGCTTTGGTCCCCTCCATGAGGTCACCCTAGACAGGCCATCTCCCTCTGCTAAAAGTTACAGCTCTCTCAATGTGGTCCTCTCTGCTTGACTTTCTGGTTCTGTTCTGGTAATCACTTCCTTTCATCTCCTTCATGGTAAAAGTTCAGTGACAGCTCACTTGTTATTATCCATAGGGTACTGCACAATCACCTGTGGTTTCCCTCATTATGACCATATAATTTCTTGTAAAAATTTTTGAGAATAAACTGGGGTGCATTAATAATATCAGGCCAAGCAAAACAAAGTAATACAGTCACCCAATCTTGCCTCACTCATGCCTTTGCTGTATCTATCCCCCTTTAAAGCCCTCCTCAAGCTATCCTGATTGTCCTGCTTTATTTTGTCTCAATACACAGAGGAAGGTAGGCTGTGACTTAAAGTATTATATTGCACTGCAGGTATAGAAATCAAGAGACTGCATCATGAACATATATATTTTTCTTTCCTCTTTTCAGAGCCAAATTATTTCTTACTGGGGTTATCCTTATGAAAAATATGATGTTGTGACAAAAGATGGTTATATCCTTGGAATTTACAGGATTCCTCATGGAAGAAGGTGTTCAAGAGCAGGTAGGATTAATTTTGTTATGAAAGGCATAATGTCTAAGGGTGAGATTCCTGGATGTGCTGATAGCAGCGAGGCAGCTTTTGTTCTGAAACAGAGCCCAGTGTCTTCCATTAGAGACGCTCCACCTCTACTACTCCCTTCCATCTGTACAACCCTTTGGAATTTTGAAGACATCTTATATACACTGTTTATTTTGTCTTTTATTTCTCTTTGTCCTCTTTCCTAAAAAACACAAAAAAGAAAACTCAGTCTTACTCTAGAGTTACCATTTCCTAGCTTAAAGTAGAAAACTAGGAGTCATTTTGATAATTCTTCTTCTTTACCTACTATATATATAGCCAATCACCAATATTGGTCTTCTAAATTTCTTTCTTATTTGCAAAATTCTTTTAACTTCAAGATCACTCAAGTCTAGGCTTGTACATCATTATCATCTTTTCCTTTAACTACTACAATAGCTTTCTAGCTGCCATTATATCAGTTGTAATTAGTCCTCCACCCAAGCCAGTGGAATTTCATTTTTAAAGTAAATCTGACACTACTAGTTCTATACTTAAACTGAATGAAAGGGCCATTTCTAGCTCCCTGCAATATAGGCTGATATCTGTAGAGAGGAGAGAGATTCATTTGGCAAGAATTCTTTACTTGTTTTCTAATTTCTAGCTCCCTTTGTTCTTTGGAGTGTTGTTGTATAACAAACACTGTAACATCAGAAGGGTTAATTATTTAAAGAGAAAATCTCAACTTTTAAAAAGAGGGAGCTATGAAATGGTGATGACTTAATAGAAACATCCATTCCCTCCCTATCCCTACAATAAGTTTATTTTCTTTATAAATACTCACAAGAACTTTGTTTCCTCAATCTTTTATCTCATGATCTCTGCCAGGAAGCTGGCAAAATGCAGGAGATGGAGAAGCTGCCTGAGGGCTCAGATCAGGGAGGGACTATGACTGCCGTCTGTAGAATTAGTAGTACCTCTTCCTTCTGTCTTCTGAAAAGCTGGGTAAATGGACACAGTTCCTTGCTTTCAGATGCTGAAGGCTCTCTGAGAGTCCAGTCTGGCCTACCCAATCTTCAAAAGCTGGTGCAGCACCAAAACTGACCCGAGGGAGAGTCCTGAGGTAGCAACAGAGCATTCCAAACCATTTATTTAAAAAAAAAAAAAATCCTGGTCACTTCTCTGTCTTCTTGGAGTTTTCAACACCATTTCCCCACTTCCTTTTTTTCTCTTTTTTAGTCAGATTGTTTCAATTTTACATTATGAACAAGATTTTTATATTAACAATTTTACATGGCATAACATTTCACTTAAATATTTGAACCTTGCTATCTGAAAGAACATATTAAATTAAGCAGTGTGTAAAATATCTAGCGTAGTGCCTGGTATTCAACAAATGGCATTTTTATGGTTTTTGTTATTATTTGGAGAAAAAGTTAGTTTTACTATCAGTTACTTCTTGAGAAAAAATGTCATTAATATAAATAATAATAGAGCAAATATTTGTTGTCCTGGACAGTCTTTTATGTATTTAAATTCTAATTAATTCTTATGACTCTGCTATGAGATAATGTCATTATTACCCATTATGCAGATAAGTGAGCTGAGATAACCACAAAAGGGTTAATACATAGTGGAATAGATTTTGAACCAGGACAATCTGACTCCAACACCTACAGAACAACACAATACATTATATATAATTTCAAATTTTACAAAAAGAAAAGCAAGATGTAGAGAAGATAAATAACTTGCCCAAGTAAGTAGTTCAGAAACGACTTGAACCTACGTTTGCGTAGTGCCAGATTTCGTCTCTTAATGTCTCTTCTATACTACAGGAAGTCAGGAAAGAGAATTCTCTTGTGGCTACTGAGGAAGTAGACTTGACATTCTTGTTGCCTGTGTTTTGCAGCTCCGAGGCCTGTTGTTTATTTGCAACATGGCTTAATCGCATCTGCCACTAACTGGATTTGCAACCTGCCCAACAACAGCTTAGCTTTCCTTCTGGCAGATGCTGGTTATGATGTGTGGATGGGGAACAGCCGGGGAAATACCTGGTCCAGAAAACACTTGAAATTTTCACCCACATCACCAGAATTCTGGGCCTTCAGGTAAGGAGATACATAGTAACGAATAAAATGTATACTTGACTCATATATATGGATGAACACTTCAATTTTTCCCTTTCTGTCCAAATGCATCCAATGAAATCCTCAAGAAGGAAATAAATGTTTTCTCCTTTGCCCAGGCTTTCTTCACCAGCTCTGAAAAAATGTCCTTATTATTGCATTAATGTTTGTCTCTAACACCCTACTTGCTGGTATGTGGGGGGGGGGGTGGTAAACACATGCATGCATGTGCATATGCAAATTGTGTATGCAAAAAAATCAAAATGCAAAAGTCAGCCTTAGGAAAAGGTTAATTCCAAGACTATCTCTTTGTCCATGTGGACTCCAAAAGAAGCTGACATGGTACTCTTATGAAAGAGGAAAAAATGAAACTGACTGATAACTGGGACCAGAAACAGATTCTTGTTGAAAATCCTGAGAACTAGACATTCATGATATGCCAAGGGTGAGCCTAATCCTGTGTGAGGATGATACGCAAATGTTTACTCACCGAGTGGTGAAAAAACTCTTCCCTTCACATGGGGGCAGTATTGAAATCTGCCCCCAGCGGTAGGTTTTGGGGAAAATAAGGAGAAAGCCTGACTGTGGGATGATTAAAGAGCAGAGTGTCGCCACCAGCCTTCCCTTAGGCACTGTTGGCTCTAGAAGCCAGGCCTGCTTGGTCACTGGGACAGACCCTTGCACCTGCACTTGCAGAGGCAGTTAGAACCATGCCTTGAAGGCCGTGAGAGTCTTTTGTTCCCTGACCTCATTTCCACCTTATTCCTGGAAGCCACTTGGCATTTCCTAATTGCATGCCCCAGTGCAACTGTGTCATTGAACTATTGCAAATAACATGATGATTCCCGAGATGAGTGTTTTCCCAGCTACACATACAAACGCACACACAAAAAGAAGCACCTGAAGCTACTGATAAGTATTCAGATTCCCAGGTGTCTTCCTTGATTCAGCCTTTCTGGGCCGAAGGCTACAAATCTGTTTTATTTATTTATTTGTTTGTTTATTTATTTTAAAGATAACATTTTTTAAAGATTTTTTAAAATTTAATTTTTTTTAGAGAGAGAGGGGAAGGGAGGGAGAAAGAGAGAGAGAAACATCAATTTATGGTTGCCTCTCACGTGGCCCCCACTGGAGACCTGGCCCGCAACCCAGGCATGTGCCCTGACTGGGAATCAAACTGGGGACCCTTTGGTTCACAGCCCATGCTCAATCCACTGAGCTACACCAGCGAGGGCTGTTTCCTTTATTATATATTTTTTCAAATACAGGGTCTGGCACAAAGAATGCACCTTTCCTTTTTTACAAAATCTTTTATTACAATATTGTAAGCATGTAATTCTGTAACATAACAATACCACACTCAAGTATATCATCTGACATTTTAGGTGAAATGTTCAAATTAATACTATAATTTATTAATCCCACATTATTACCCTATCAACCACGCTCAAGCAGGCCTTACTTCTGCCAGATCCTGTATATTGCATTTTAGGTAATTGTTCTTTTTAAAGAGAGTTTGGTAAATCTGACATAGAATTAAGTGAAATGTGAATAGTCTTTTAGGAAAAGCATAGACCTTTGTAACTCAGATTTTTCTAATTCCAATTTCTTAACTGTGCAATCAAGGTGACTTGCATCCTCAGAAGTCCCAGAGACCCATAATATCACGTATTAACTCTACTCTTAGATTTAACAAAAGCTAAGTATCTATGCAATGAATGTGTTTGGATATTGCAGGCCTAACAATGATATCTTTTCCAATTTTGTTGTGTTTTTTTCCTTTGGCAGTTTGGATGAGATGGCTAAATATGATCTTCCAGCCACAATCAATTTTATTGTAGAGAAAACTGGACAGGAGCGACTCTACTATGTGGGCCACTCCCAGGGCACCACCATCGGTGTGTTTGGGGCAGGTGTGACCTGAGAGTGTCAGAGGATCTGCTTCCCTATTCGTGAAAGGGGTCAGGATTTCTTCCCTCTGTGATGTCTCTAGCTTGGGGACTTGAGTTGGAAAGCCATTTTCTCTGTCTGATTTCTGAAGATTAAAAATAAAAAAGGAGAACCACAACAAGGACTTTTCCCCATAGAACTAAATCTGGAGATTGATAAATAAGCCATAAGGAGAGAGAATTATTCATTTTTATACACAAGAAACGTTTTTCAGATACTGGATTAGATGCTGGGGTGGGGGGCAGAGGTAAATATGGCAGACACTTTTCCTTTAAAGAGCTCACAGTCTAGTGAAGACACTGAAAAGAGAACAGAGAATTACAAATCCCACCGGTCATGTGTCGTGATCAGCACACCCTTCACTTCCCAGGGCGTGCGGGGATGGGCTGGATGCAGATGGGGCGTGTGGACAATACCATGAGGCACTTCACTTCCTTCACTACTCCTCCTTCTGCCACAGACCTCAACAGTGTCGATAGCATTTCCACCATTCCCTTTTCTGTATCCTAATCCTAATTAAGTTTCTAGTATAAAGACGGATTGTATATGCCTGTACATTACAAATGTGTGAGACCATTATCATCCATATTTTACAAATGGCTGAATTTAGAAATCCTTTCTAATGGTGATACTGCCAAATAATATCTTAAGCTTTATATATGTGTATTTTAACCTTCAAAAGAATCATCCTGTAAGATTCCTTTCCCACATTTACAGATTTCAAAAACTGAGACTCACATAGTTAACCCACCCAAGTTTTAAATAGCTAGTGAATGTAAGCCAAAATTAAAGTCCAGTTTTGTCTGATACCAAAGAGGATGGTTGAGCAAGGAGCTTACCTCCATATGTCCCATGAGGGCTGTGCAAACCCTCTCTATAACTCTTGCACTCTCCAAGGACAAGGAAGCACTTTGTTCTGAATTCACCAATTCCATTCTTGGGAAATTTAGAAAATCCTCCTCTACAAATTGTGCTTACTCTGAATTATTTTTTATTTCTATTGTTGTTTTTACTATAACTATTTTTTGTGTGTTTTAAAATGATTAGGAATTTTTTTAAGTCTATAAACTAGTGTTTTCTTCCCTTTCAGCTTTTATAGCATTCTCTACAAATCCAGAGCTGGCTAAAAGGATTAAAATATTTTTTGCATTGGCTCCAGTCACTACAGTGCAATACACCCGAAGTCCTATGAGAAGATTAACTACTCTTTCCAGACAAGCAGTCAAGGTATGTGACTTCCCAAGGTTAATTCTGTAGGTACTAAAGTTAGATCTGTTCCCAGTGATTTCAACAGAAGAAAATCAAATGACATTTTACAAACCTCTGAGACTGTAACAGGTGCTGGAGGTATCCACGTAGGCACTGCTGCTGTATAATTTTACCAGCAGGGTTCAGGGGGCTCACTCTGGTGCTACACCACCCTACTGTCTTCATCAATGTCTTCTCTCTTTCATGTTTGTCATTCTTCAATGACAGATAAAGCAAATGCCAATTGGATTAATTGATTTGTTTGATCTAGTAGATTAAATCTCTCTCCAGCGCCCCCTAGTTTCTGAGGGGCAGTATATAGTTGTAGTTGAGATCAGGGCATGAAGCCAGACAGCATGGGTTGGAATCCTGGCTAGCTGGGTAAATTTAGTCAAGAGCTTAACTGTTCTGTGAACCATTTTCTTCATTGGATAAAGTGGAGATAATAATAGTCTCTACTCATAGGACTGCTGTGATGATAAAGTGAGTTCATTTTTCGTGTAAATCCCTTAGGTCTTGCACATTATAAGCTTTCAACAAATGTCAACTATTGTTATCACTGTCATGCATTTCATGTAACATATACCTTCCCCCATCTCTACAAGTACTACTTTCCCCAGATGCCCACAGTTCACAGACTCCCAGCCTGTTAGCTCCTCAAAACCTACACAGTATCTTTCACCTCAGGTTTTTCTGCTAGCTGACAGTTAGCTAAGCTCATCACTTACTCAGTCGAAGATAATTGGTGTATGTGGGTTGATGTGTTTTCATATTGCATATTAATACAGGCTTTTACCATGGCTAACAGAAGGTAATCATAGTGTTTAATTGAAATCAATAATTTCAGTTAAAGCAAATACTGGGATAATTTTTACAGAAGCCAGGAATTTTGGTTGGTAAGAGATAAGCAAATTAGCTTATGTTGAGTCAGTTCCATACCTGTATAACTCAGAAACACAGTAGCAGGAAAGCCACCAAACAACATGGAAAATACTCTCATTTCCCTCATAGTACTTGGACCTCTTATACCATAAAGGTTCAGTCTAGCCTGGCCTCACTGGACTGTTTGCTAACTTATTTCAGCATTCCCACACAGTTAAGAGACACTTTGATATGACGGGCTCTTTCTATTGTTCTCAATTTGCACAGCTCTGCTTCAACTTTTCACATGTTTTGACACACTTATGGTGTAGTGCAGGTTGATGCAATTTTGTGAAAAGATATCTAAGAGCTACTATTTCAAAGGCATTACATCAAGAAACAGCAATGTCTATAAAAATCCATGTCAGCCAGTGGATATGACTGAGAACTAGGGTGCAGGTGAGAGTCATGGGAGACTTGACTAAAGGGAGAGTGCGGCACAGTTAATGGGAAGCAGTTACGTCATGTTAAGAAGTTTAGATTTTGTTCTATTGGTAATGAAAAACCAATGAAGAATGTGAAGCAGAGAACTGGCTCGATCAAATTTGCACTTTTAGAAAGATTGCCCTGAAAGAGCTTTGACTACAATAGAGGAGCTACTAGATGTGACCCACTAACTTCTAATAGAAAGTCCAGCATTATAATGATAGAGTAAAAATAAAAATATAGACAAACACAGAGAAAAGTCAAGATGTTTCTAGTCATGGGATTTACAGAACTTCTTAGAGGATGTGACATTTGAATTTGAGATTAGAGGTCAGAATTCAACATACAGGGTGGGAAGTCTTTCCAAACCAAAAGGATAACATTACTACTGAAATAGTAAAACTCGAGCCATGGGAAACCACATGTAATTGACTTTATTGGTGCTTTACAGTTGTAAAAAAGTATATAAGAAATAATATTGGAAATGTAGAAATAGATTCTAACAGGAATTGAGTGCTAAGTTCAGAAGTTTAGAATTTACTCCATAGGTAATGGGCAACGATGGAAAGTCCTTGCACATGGGCAAGGGCATACACAATGCTCTTTTTAGTGAAGATTCTCCTGGTAACTAAATGGAAGTGCATGGGAGTAAAGGATATCATGAGGGACAAAAGATAGAGTGCTTATGGGATTATTTTAGCTGATATTTATGCTACATTTTAGCTGATAGATGAGAATCTGAGCCAGAGTTGTCCAAAAAGAAAAAAAAAACTACAGGATTTGATAATAAAGTAGACATGATATAAACTTTGAGAGGGAGAGGCTTCTTTCTCTTCCTTTTTCTTATTAGCCAAAGTTCTAGTTAGTTCTTAATTATTATTCTTAGTTCTTAGTTCTAGTTCTTATTAGTTCTCAGACATAATTGGAGAATGGCTTCCTCTTTTATTGGAGAACTGGACTGAAACAACATTTTCACTGATTAGTATCTAATTGGTATTAATTCTCTAATCAGTATCTCTGATTAGAGAATTCTTTTTATTGATACTATTAGTTCTTTTCTATAACCCCTTAACTTCATTTTGATTTGATTCAATTCACATTACATACTGGCTAAAGGACTTGAGTCAGATAGGACAGAGTTCACATTCTGCCTCTGCTTTCTGCCCCTTGTGACCTCGGGCAAGCTACTTAACCATTTTAAACCTAAGTTTTACATTTATAAAATGGGTAGAATTTGAAGTTGTGCTGTCATCAAGATGGTGAGCTTGGAGGTCCTAGCACGTCTACCCAACAGAAACAATAAAAACAATAAAACAAGTGTAAACTGATGAAAATAGCTCTGGGGAACTTCTGGACTATAGTGAAGAAACAGCAGAAACCATTTGGAGCTCAAACACCAAGAATGGCTTCATGGAAAATAATAGAAAGCATTTCACCTGCATCACCCCACGAGCTAGTATGGAGCAGCTCATCATTCAAAAGGATCCCCTCAGAGGGACTTCATCAAGTGGCTGAAAAAAGAGCAGAAGAACTCCATCAAGCCTCATCACTGTCCTGGAATTTGCAGCCTTTGTTACCAAGAATCCCCACAGTCTTCTCTAGTGCTAAACCCAGCTGACAGAGATGCTCTGAGTTCCCGATGCTGCATCTCCTCTCCAAGGCTAGAGCTGTCACTGAGGTGAGACTTGTTTCCAGGAGCCCCAGTTGAAGCTTTGCCCACTTTTGAATCAGGATGCCACGGTGCCTTGCCATCTATGGGACTGGAGTGGCCACTGTTTTGCCTCTTACTCTCTGGGTCCCAAGTCATGGTTTTGAACCACCATCACTGGGGCCACACCACTGCTTCTTTGTGCTCTGCCCTTGGCACCCAAGTTGGGGTTTCATCCTAGCATCATTAGAATGGAAAAAAGTCCCAACACTGGCCCCCCAGGGGTAGATGTGGGACAGCAGCAGCTTGGCCCTAATGATGCCATCCCTAGGGCATGTTGCTGCTACACCCTGCCTCTTGAGCCTAAGCCACCACTGCACCCTATCATCCCTGGACCCATGCTGCTCCTGAGTCTCCCAACTTTTTCCCCCACCTCTGGGCTTGAGTCACTGCAATAAGCACAAGAGACCCAGACCTTAATTCCATAGGAAGTGTGCACATGCCCACACCTCAGAATTAATACCACCACCACAGTAAATATACCTATGCCTCAACCTAGCTGCTATGGTAGTTCTGTGTGTACCTGAACCCTGGACACTGATTTTGCTGCCACATTGAGTTTCAGTGAACCAGACCTGGTACAAGTAAGTATACCCAGAGCTATAGCTTCTTCCCATGCACAAAAAGTAGGAGAATACCAGCCGTGTTTGCCACTGAGGACCTTACTAATTCTAGTCACCACTGCTACCGGAAGACCTCCACAATTTTCGCCACTGAGGATTCCTGCAGTCTTCACTGCTGTTAATCTCAGCTGACAAAGCTTAAAAGAATTAATATCAATACTACTCAAATTCTTCCAACAAACTGAAGAAGAAGAAACACTTCCAGTTTTATTTACAAGGCCAGCATTACCCTGGTACTAACATCAGACATAGATGCTACAAGAAAAGAACATGATGCAAAAATCCTCAAGAAAATACTAGCAAACTGAATTTAACAGTACATTGAAAGAATTAATCACTGTGATCAAGTGAGATTAATTCCTGCAATGCAAGGATGTTCAACATAATAAATTAATAAATGTGAAACATCACATTAATAGAATGAAGGATAAGAATCTATGATCATCTTAACTGATGTAAAAAGGGCATTTGACAAAGTTAAATCTCCTTTATGATAAAAATTCTAAACAAATTTGGTATAGAAAAAAATATACTTCAACATAACAAAGGTTATATATGACAAGTCCATCGCTAACAGTATAGTCAACAGTGAAAAGTTAAAAACCTTTTCTCTAAGATCAGAAACACTTCTATTCAACATAGCACTGGAAATACTAGCCAGGAAAATTAGGCAAAAAAAGGAACTAAAAGGCATCTAAATTGGAAAGGAAAAGGTAAAATTATCTCTGTTTGCAGATGACATAACCTTATTAAAAATACCCTGGAGATTCCACCAAAACTATTTAGAACTAATGAATGAATTAAATAAAGTTTCAGAATATAAAATCAACATTAAAACACATGCATTTCTCTACCCTAAACAATGCATTCTCTGGAAGAGAAATTAAGAAAGCAATCTTACACACAGTAGCATCAAAAATAATAAAATATGTAGAAATAAATTTAACCAAGGAAGTGAAAAACAGGTACACTGAATATATAAAACATTGATGAAAGAAATTGAAGAAGATACAATTAAATGACAAGATATAGTGTGTTCATGGATTGGAAGATTAATATTGTTTAAATGGCCATACTACCCAAAGTTATCTATAATTGAGTGGAATCCTTATCAAATGTTCAAAGGCTTTTAACAAAAACAGAAAAAGAAAACTACCCTAAAATTCATATTAAACCACAAAGGTCCTGAAAAACCAAATCAATCTTGAACAAGAACAAAAAGTGAGATCCCAGATGGCAGAAGAGTAAGTAGAAGCTACACTAACTTCCTCCCAGGACCAATTTGGAATTACAACTAAATT